CAAAGTATTTCTGAATGACAACACATGCAAACTGAAAGCTCCTAATCTCATTAAACAATTCTTTGGAGAGCCAAGAGACTCTTGCAGGTACCAGGTAAGGAATCCTTCTTTTAGAGTCTCTGGTAAGAAGGTAGGATACACGAACTCATGATTCGTCAAGAGTAGAAAGACTCATATAGGGTTATGGCCAACGGCAGGAGGGAGTGAGGTAAATCACAGTAAATTGCATTTCACTGAAAAATAGATGAAGATCATGAAAGGAAAAAAAGAAGTCAGTATATTCTCACCCCAACCATTCCCAGGTTGGTCACCAACTCCCCTTTTTCTGTGCCTGGCCTCCCATCTGACCCTATCAGTTGCATTTTTTTTTAGGGCATGAGATAAGAAAATTCAAATAAGGAAATGTAAGCTCCATGAAGACAGTCTCTCATGCTAACTGTTTTATCTTGATTCACAAAAGCAGGTCAACAAATGCTTATGGAAAGAATGAGGAGCAGAAATACTCTTAAAGTGGAATACGGCAGTATAGAGTAATGGAAAGTGGATTAAGTTCAATATAAAACCCTGAAAATTTAAGAAATGTGCTTCAGAGTAGTGTCCCAATCAATAAAAAACGTATCACCCCAAGTTTAGTCTTGTTGTTTCAGAAGAATGCAAATTTGAGATTAACGATGTTGTATTTTATCTGAAAAGGATTATCTTGCAGAAATCCAGAGTATATTCTAATCTGTGAGAGATGGAAAAGGAATTATTAGCCCTGTTAGGGCCCAGCAAATATTTTAGCTGCAAGAGTCCATGGGCTGCCCCACGAAAATGCAGAAGAGAGGTAGAGGAAGAAAGGAAGGGAAGAAATGAGTCAGAAAAGTGAAGTAAATAAGTGATTGTGTGGGGGGATTACTAATACTTCTTGCCTGCATTACCTAATCTAACCCTAACAATGCCCACAAGATAACGTGATTGGAGTCCCAGAGTGATAAGAAACTTGTGTAAAGATGCATGGTAGAATGTTACTGTGGAAATGGATTCTGGGGCAGTGGCAGTGGGTTCCTGGCTATGACACAAGGTAGATATTGATGAAGCGCCTACTGTGTGTGAGGCACTGTTGAGAATAGACTGAAATAGATCTTGTTTTCAGGCTCTCTTGCCTTGGATTTTTAATGCCCAACATCTATGGTCACGGGCAGACCCAGTTTTTGTGGAGCCTGAAGCTTCTATTATTTTTTTAAAATTTATTTTGAGAGAGTTCTTTAAGAACAAGAATATAAGTTTTAAAACGTGGGATTAAATATAGAACCTTAAGCTTGTGATTTAGGAGTGTTGAAGATCAGCCTTTATTTGCTCCTTAGTAAATCCGTATCTGGCTATAATGATGGCTCATCAACGAATTTAACACCAAAAATGCTACAGTGGTGCCTCCAAAGTGTTCATTTTGAAAATCAGGGGAAGGGAAAGGATGGGATAGGGTTAAAGTGAGAATGTGAGGCACATAGCTCACAACAGCCCACATGGTTCTATTTTCAAAATAGACCAAAAGACCGATTTCAAATGAGTTTGTTTTTATTCCTTCTTGTTTTTTTTTTTTTAAAAGTTCCCTTTTGTTAAAAGAGTTAAGAAAGAAAAGTTGTGAGTACAAATAAACAAATAACCTTGGGTTTAAATACAAGCACTTTCTGTTCTGGAGGATTCTTTGCTAGGTTTCCAATCAATGTGTTCTCGTTGCCAGGGTGATAAGCCCTATGTTTCTGGATTTAGAATAAAAATTCCTCTGAAATATTTTTTAATCGGGTGATATGGGGCTTTGACTAGTTCTGGGGGATGAGGGTAACTGCGATTCTGAGGAATTCTTTCTCTGTACTCCAGGGTCTCCTGCATTTTTCTGTGTATCAGATCCACTCTGGGACCTTGCGAAGAACCTTTTGTCCTGCGTGTCACTCTGCAAAATTCTAATTTTGCAAGAGAACTGCTGTACAGACCAAAAGAGTCAGGTGCAGTTAATTCCCTGGCTATTTCTAGATGAAAAATCACTCTGTTAACCGCTGTGTTATAAGTAAGAATAGTGGTGAACATTCTCAGCAAAGGGGGAAACTGAGGCACGGGGAAAAGCAACCCGCCCTAGGCCACCTAACAAGTTGATGTCTAAATAGAACAGTCTGGCTCTAAGAAGGCCTGCCCAGGGTTTCCTACTTAGGAAAAGAGAGAACAGTCTAGCAAACAAGATAGCTTTTATCTGGAAAGGGGGTGTTCACAGTTGGGACAGTGAATATTGATTTTAATAGACAAAGGGATTAGCATGAATAAGGTGGCCAAGAGTTAGTGACTACAACAAAGGCTTTCAAAAAGGACTTTGTGCGTGTTGGCAAGAGGAAGACAGAGAGAAAGAGACAGGGAGATTTTGGAAGAATGGCAGATAAACTGTGGGCCTAAGTGACTGGGAGGCCGAGGGGGTAAACAAGGAACAGAATCTGATGTCTGTAGCGGTAGGGATTTGTACAGGCTCCTGTAGATCACAGGCCCTCAATCAATGTTTGTTGCAGGAATTTGCAAAGGAGGCCGATTACTAATGTGGCCTCGATTTGGTAACTACCATTTTCCTGGTTGCCAGGATCCCCACGTGGGATGCATGCCAGGAATCCAATAAGCAGAAGCAGACAATGTGAGGTAATGGCAGGAGAACTGTCAGGACCGAGGTCCCGGCTGACAAACATGCCTGAGGTGGCAGAGGTGACTTACCTTCTCAGGGACACTTCCCCATCCGCCTGGGGCGGGGGCTAAAGGAGGTGGGAGGGAAGGAGTGATTTCATCTGTTTAATGAAAAATGACCTGAACATTTCTCTGAACCTGGAAACTCCCCATCTAACCAGGGCCAAGGAAAACAGGATTAGGTCCCATTGCTTCTGGGATGCTTTTGCATTTGCTCAGAATCAGTTAAACTGGAGGCAATAGAAAAATAAGGTAACCTCCTTCCATTGTCTCTGTGGAGAAATCAGGAAAACCCTGAATCATTTAATGGGTTAATACCACGGGCTTCCCTCTGGTGCCCCGTGGAGCCGCTTCCATTCTGGCTCCCTTTGCCTTGAGAGTGGGCACCCTATTTCTTTGGTATGTGTTCATAATAACACAAAGTGTGCCATATGGCATTCAGACAAGGGAGTCACCCGCTTTGGCATTCTGTCTCCTGAGACGCCGCTGATGTCAGGTCCAATATGCCCTATTCCCTCTGACCTCTGTGAGCGAACACATTTTGCCCTGAAGCAAGAGGCTGTTAAAACCAGAATCATTTTGCCAATGTGGGCAACTATGGACATGTCATTCTCCACGTGACCTACTGGTGACCTATTGGGGTGGCACTTTTCAAGGTGGTTGTGTTAGTTTTGGGGATGCATTCTTCTTCTCAAGGGCTATTTCAAGACTGGCAGAGGGGCACATCCAAATGAGAACATGGTAGTAGTCAGCATTAAACCATCACTTTTGTGCCCCTGGGCCCAAATCTTCTTTTTCACTGAACTGGGTAAATAACTCATGGGGTCATTTTCTTTTTAATGCAATGTATATTTATTGTAAACAATAATATACAAAAAAAAAGAAAGAAAGAAAAGAAAGGTAAGTTCACAGAGAGAACGAAAGTTTGGAGGGGAAACAAGCGAAACAAACAAAACACAAACACAAACCAAACCTTACCTAAAAAGAAAATATGATTTAAACGCCAGGTTTCTTAAGTTACAGAAATACTTTTTAAAAGATCTGCTTTAATACAGAAATTGAAAGATGCCATATTATAAGAGTGCTTTAAGATTTTATTCTACCAACTTCTAAAACTGTTAATATATCTTTTTTTAAATAAAGAAAGTCTGCTGTCTTTTTTAAAAAGCAATCCTCAAACTCTCCAGCCACAGCAGTAAGAAAGGATTAGGGTCTGTCAGTGGGCCCGTTCCCCTTCCGGTGTGTCTTCGCCCTCTGAGAAGAACGCGTACAGAGGAATATCTACGACACGTACTTGAATTGTCTGGTGTCGCCACACATGCACACATAATTTAGGCAGCCCAAAAGTCTGTGGCAGAAAACACTGCAAAGGATGCAGTGATATACTACATTTGCAAATCTCTCATTTGTACAAAAAGAAGAGAGAGAGAGAGAGAAACAGAGAAATGAGCTTCCAGTTTGTTTTCAACAAAAACGACAAAGAAAAAAAAAAAGACGGACAAAAAGGAATTTGTACAAATCTAGGACGAAGAATCCGAAGAAACTTGCTTTTAATAATAAAAAAGATTAAAGAGATAAATAAAAAAAAAAACTGGTTACAGTTAAGAACATAATTTAACAACACATGACCCTACCCTTTGAGGAAGGCTCCAACAACCTATTTTAAAGAAGGTAAATTAAAAAAGAAAAAAGGAGGAAGATTTTTTTTTTTCAATTAAAACCTCTCCTTCCAAAATAAATAATTTCTTTTGTACCACGTGGAATGTCTTGAAGGTTAACTGCTGGTGTTCAGATACGCACAGGTGACAAAGTGAGCATAGACTCCAGCATCTGCAGTCCACATGGGGCCCGGGCAGGCAACCAGGGGGCAGCGCTCTGGGGCACTTACTGCTGAAACGTCATTCCCCAGACAGATTTCAGTCTCCTTTGCTTGCCTTTTGCTTCTTTCTTAAGACTGCAGTGAACAAGCAAAGGCAGGAGGCCTCGCACGAAAAAAAAAGCACAAGTATTTTTCCAGCAGCATGGTTTTAAGGCTCAAGGTGTTTTCCTCTTGTTTAAAATATATATCTATACATATATGATAAAGCTTACCAAATGTGTCTCTAGACTATTTGTTTACTCCCCTATTTGCAAAATAAGGCTTTAGTTCTTGTCATATTAAGGCAGCTCCTCCTTGAATCTCTGAGAGCCTGAGGCATTAAGCAAAGCTCACCCCCAAAACTAATCATAGAACAATTTTCTGTCTTTTTAAAAAATGTTAATATAATCACATACTTTTCTTTTTTTTTTTTTTCTTTTTCTTTTCTTTTTTTTTGTAGGAGAAAGCAAATCTGTACAAAAATACTCTGGTTGCAAGAAAAGCTAGGGCATACTGTTCAACTAAAAGTAGTTTAGCTGTTGGAAAAATAAGAGCATTTAGTTTTTTTTTAATCTAAAAATATGTATAAATCCCCTCAAATGGTAATGAATCATACACAGTACATACTAAAAATATTTAAAATAGAGAATATTCCTCACAGAGGACTTTTTTTTCTTTAATTACTGCTAAAAAATAATTACAAAGTCCAGACAGGCAGGGAGATTGAGCAGATGGGTCGCGATTCTCCGATACTCTCCTGCACACTTGCTCTGACGAAGTCGAAGTCCAGTTCCTCTCGGGTGCTGCTGGCCCACCTAGCCAGGAGTGGCCTGGCCGCTGATTCCCACGCAACAAGTTGGTCGTGCGTTTTGGATAGACAATGTTTCTGTCTTGGAATCTCAGAACGAGCCGCCTTTAGCTTTCCTGTCTTTAAGAAACAGGAGAAAACAAACAAAAACGTCCAAAGCGAATTCTGGTTTCTCTCTTTCTTCGGTTACTGTTATGAGCATCTCGGCCTTTGCTGAAGGTCTCCTCAAGGTCTGGTGAGCTGTGTGTAGACGGGTTGCTCCCACTGCTGCGGGCTGTGGGTCTGCGGGATGGAAGGAACCCCGGAGGTGTCGGCGATGGGGGTGTACATGGGGCGCTGGGCGGGGTTCATGTAGGTGAAGGTGGAATAGAGACCAGAGCCCTGGCCGGCGGCGTGGCTGTAGAAGGAGCCGGAGCCCTGGTGGTCGGCGTAGTCGTACTGCGAGCGCGTGATGGGCGGGTAGGAGGGGCTGTAGTGCGGGAGGTTGAAGGGGCTGTAGGCGATCTGCTGCGGCGAATGCTGCTGTTGCTCGCTGTAGTGGCTGGGGCTCAGCTGCTCTGTCTTGATGTGGGTTCGCTGCGACTGCCCGGGCTCGCTGCTCAGCGGGGTCAGAGCGTGCGCCTGCTGGGGTTGCGGGGGCGCGGCCTGCTGCTGTGGGGGCGCCTGCTGCTGCTGGGAGGGGGCCTGCGGGGCTGGCGGGGCCTGCGGGGGTTGCTGCGGGGGCGGCGGCGCCTGCTGCTTGGACATCCACACGTGGCCCGCGCCTGCGGGGGTCGCTGCGGTACTGCTGATGCCGTAGCTGCCCGTGTAGGTGACCTGGCCGTGCGTGGCCGGCACCCCCGGGTGGCCGTTGGGAGGCAGGTACTGGTCGAATTCGTTCACGTCGAAGGTCTCGATGTTGGAGATGACATCGCTGCTCAGCTCGCCGATGTCCACATCGCGGAAGTCGATGGGGGGCTGTCTGCCCCCCTCGGGCAGGGGGCGCCCCTCTCGCTTCAGGTCAGCTTTGCCCGGCTGCACGTCGGTTTTGGGAGTAGTGGGTGGGGTCGGTGGGCCCTGGGATTGTCCTGCAGGTAATAAAAAAGAAGCACGGGAAAATCAACAAGGCCCTAGTCCTAGGACCTCTCCTCCCAGGGCCCTCCCTTGAGGCTCAGGTGTAATAAGTGCCCGCACCTCGCAGGAGGCGCGCCGCACCGGAGGTAAGTCCCGGAATGATTAACTCGCCAGTACACTGGGTAGCCTCCTTTTATCTGGGGAGGGTCTGAAGGCCCCAGGGGCCGGAAGACCAAATTACTACACGTAGAAGAACGCCCTGTGTGCTTTTGGGGCGGAGGAGCCAAGAGACAAGGGGGGTAAGTTTCATAAAAGCTGTGAAGTCATTTTACCTGGCAATAAAAAAATATATATCTCTTAGGGTGCTGGGGTTAAGCGTGTGTGTGTGTGTGTGTGTGTGTGTGTGTGTGTGTGTGTGTGTGTGTTTGGGTGTCTGCTGGGGCCCTGGACTGGGAGCTGAGCAGGTTTAGGCGCCGAAGGTACAGGGGCCCTCTCCGGGGAGCGCAAAGTCCCAGGCAGAGGTTCCGGGCAGAGGTCTGGGGGCTGCAGGGCGGGCTGGGGGTGGCCTGGCCCGGACCGGCGGAGGGACTCACCCGAGTGCTCGCCGGGGGAGTGCACCTCGCTCATGCCGGACGAGGAGTGCGGGGAGTCGGCCTGCAGCGCTTTGAAGATGGCGTTCGGGGAGATGTGAGTCTGCTCCGTGGCCTCCTCGGCCTCCGCCTGTCCGTTCTTCACCGACTTCCTCCGCCGCGGCTGGTACTTGTAATCCGGGTGGTCTTTCTTGTGCTGCACACGCAGCCGCTCGGCTTCCTCCACGAAGGGCCGCTTCTCGCTCTCGTTGAGAAGTCTGGGGGTGGGGAGGGGGGCGCAGAGGAAAAGAGGGAGGGGTCAGCGACACGGCGCGGCTGTCAGGGTCCCGTCGCCCCGCTCCTCCCCACACGCCCCCTCCCCGCCCCCCACCCCCCAGCCGCGGCTGCGGCGGCGCCTAACCTTTCTTGAAAAAAAAATTAAATAAATAAAAAAGCAAAAAGTAAACCAAGAGAAAACTCTCAGTTCGGGAATTCCGACCCGAGTGGCCACTCCCCGCCCCGTCCCCTCCCCTCCCCTTCTATTTTGGAAGCCCTGGAGATGAAAATAGCTCCCCGCCGCTGCTGCTCCAAACGCCTTTGCTACTGGAGTTATCCCCCCCGCCCCCATACCTTTAAAATCTTTCCGAAAAACCCCTTAAACTGGAAGAAACTCCCCCTGCCCCCGCCTATGCCCGGCTCCTCTCTCTTTTCCCGCCTGGGGTTTCCTCCAGCATCCACCCCCCGAGATGTAGAACGGCTTGGGAGCATTGCGCGACAGAAGATGGAAGGGGACCCCCCCCCCCGCCAGCAAACTGAAAGGTTACCGGGCTGGCAGCCCATCCCCTCCCCTGTCTCCTACGAGCCTTCTCAGACGCGGCCGCCCCTCCCACCGCCAGCCTCCCATCCCAAGAACTGTGTCAAACTCCAAGCCAAAGTTACACCTCGACCCCCTCCCCAGCCCCATCTCGGGCTCCCGGAGCCGCACCCCCTGCCTCGGGAGGCGGGGCGGGGACGCAGGGTCCGGGCCGGCGCCCCGGCTGCCGGCAGCCCACCCTGCTGGCGCCCCCCGGCCCTACCTCCAGAGCTTGCCCAGCGTCTTGCTGAGCTCGGCGTTGTGCAGGTGCGGGTACTGGTCCGCCAGCTTCCTGCGCGCCGCCTGCGCCCACACCATGAAGGCGTTCATGGGCCGCTTGACGTGCGGTTTGTTCTTGCTGGAGCCGTTGACGCGCACCGGCATGGGCACCAGCGTCCAGTCGTAGCCCTTGAGCACCTGGCTGACCGCCTCGCGGATGCACACGGGGAACTTGTCCTCCTCGCTCTCCTTCTTCAGGTCCGGCTCGCCCTTGGGGAACGTGTTCTCCTGGGGCCGCGTGTTCTCCGTGTCTGAGCCCGAGCCCGAGGGGCAGGGCGAGCCGGCCGAGTCCTCGGACATGGTGGGGCTGGGGGCGCCGGACAGGCCCTTCTCCTGCTCGTCGGTCATCTTCATGAAGGGGTCCAGGAGATTCATACGCGGGCCCGGGGCAGGCGGCGGGTGGCCGGGAAAGGCGAGAAGCCGCGGCGGCTCGGGGACTGGAGGCGCGGGCCCCTCTCCCCTCTGCTGCCCGGACGCGGACTCGGACGCGGAGCGAGCGGCTCCCGGGGAGGCTGGCGCGTCACCTGGTTGCTGGAGGCTGGCGCTGGGGTGGCTGATCCGCAGCTGCCTGCTCCAAGAGGGAAAGGCGAATTGGAGAGGATGGAGGAGGAGGAGGAGGAGGAAGGGAAGAAAGAGCAGAAGTGGGGCACTTGCGCCCTTCTTTTCTCCTCTTGCAAAAAAGTTCCCGGGGGTGAAACTGGCAAGTCTCAGCGCTACAGAAGTTCCCAGTCAGCTCGGAGCTCCGCTCTCGGCTCGCGGACTCCCAGCCCGGGGTCTCCTTAATAAATACTCCTGCTCACCTTAGAGACGTCCAGCCAATCACAGCCCGGCAGCCCTTGGCTGGCACGCAGCTCATTGGACGCGATTTTGGAGGGGGGAGGAGGATTGTGGCACAGGGCTGGGTGACGAGACCGGAGGGGAGAAGAGGGGAGGGAACCGCAGCCCAAGGGTGGATGGTGGGAGGGGGGAGGGGGTGGGGGGAGCGCTGCGGGAAGGCGGGGGACCCGGGACTTCCAAAAGTGTAAGTTGCCCTACTCTTGGAATGTCAGAATTTTGGTACCGTGTCCGCCTGAATCTTTGCGCGCGCATGCATGCGTGTGTGTGTGTGTGTGTGTGAACGCGCGCGCGGGCGCGGACTGTGCGTTTGTGCGTGTGCGCGGACGTGTGTGTCTAGACTAGGATCTACCCCCACCTCGACACTTCTTTTCACTGGTCTTTTGGCGGCACCGGGGACTTTGCCGGAGTTTTCAATCTTGGAAAAGCAGGCGCTCCTCAATGCGTAGTCCGGTGTCTGCGCCTGGAGCCCGCTCGCTTCCAAAAGTGCTTAGAAATGGTCTTTGGAAGCAAATGTTTTGGTGACTCAACGCCCGCTGTTCCTCCGTAATAATCCATATAAATAGATTAACAAGCTCTGGTTCGCAGGGGCTGGTGCGGCCAGCCGGGACTCTGCTGCGCTCTCGCTCAGGGAATCAATGAAAAGCAAGACTAGGTCCGGGCGAAGGCGGGCGCGGCTGTGCGGGGCGGCCCGCGCGCCACTCCGACCTTGAACTCCGATGAGTCCTTCTCCGGTCCCCCCAAACTCCCACCCCGCCGACGCCCCTCAGTGACAGGGCTGCCGCTTTGACGTTCTGCTCTTTGCCTCCTGGCTGAGTCCAGAAACGTCAGCAGAGATGCCTCTGGAAGGAGTTCGCAAACTGCTCTAGCTTGGAGACGGAACTTTGCAAATGTGGCCCTCCTGGGCCCAGAGGCCGAGCGAGGTCACTTGGTTCGTAGAACTCCAAACACGTAGGCACCCCTGAAGACAAAACAGTTCACTTTGGCAGAGCCGTGCAGCGCCCGCTTTCACCGAGTCCCTGGAGCGGGGAAGCGCCGATCGGTCGGACTTGAGTCGGTCCCTTCAGAACCTCACGCAGGTGGAGTTCTAAGGGAGGCCGCGGAGGTGTCTCTGATGTATTTCAAGTGTGATTGAGCACAACCTTTGTACTTTACGGGAACGCTTAGAGCCAGGCTGGGTAAGTGCGGGGTTATCTGTTGTGCAGTAGAATAATCTCACTCGCCGGCTGGTTACAAGACTTCAGAGTCACAAATAAACGCACAGCGGAGGAAAACTCTTAATTTCAACTCCCCCCTTTCCAGCCGCCTTCTGGCTCTTGCAAAAGTTCGCCTGGAGTTAAATTACTGATATTGTGAATCGACCCATATCATATCAAAGACAGGTTTTCTTCTAATTTGCCAAGGGCGATCATTCTGATAAGATTTAAACGAATGTTGTATTTGAAGTGTTTTTTAAAAAAACTTCTTTTCTTCCGAAGTCGACGTTTCTTACAGGAAAAGAAACGGTTGATAAGTATTCACAATCCTTGGTCAACAGGATTCTTTTTTTTAAACGAATACAACTCACTGGCCTCCGATGTCTCTAGCACCCTATATCTTGTTTACGAATTTACGAGACCGGCAAACAATAGTCTTGTATTCTTGGCTCTGTGGCTACGCTCTGAAAACGTAAGGACAGCATGCTCCATTCTGGGGAAAAATAAATAGTCCCGCGTAGTATGGACACATTTCTGCATCTTGGAGAGGTTCCATTCGCGTGGGTATTTGTGTGATTTACAGACACCTGATCCAGAAGACTCGGAGGCCACTGGGCAGATGTTCTAGCCAACTCCCCACGCTTTAATTTCTAAATTATAATTATCACATTTAGTGGCATAAAGGCAGTGAACAGGACTGTGACTTTAACATTTTTTGGAATATTTCACTAAATATTTGTCAATATGTAAGTGTACGCATAGATAGATCTTTAACACGGTTATGTAATAAGGAAGGCAATGTATAGCAGCAGTTTAAATAATAACGTCTGGTGCTGTATACTTTTTTTGATGCATGCATTTTCTATTCTTGTAATTTTTTTTTTTTTTTTGGAAAATTGCCTTCAAAATGGACTGCAATTTTCACCTGTGTCTAGAGGGGGCGCCAAAAGCCCAGAAACTGTCTCTAATTCAGCGGAACTGCGCGAAAATGATGGTGGTGTGTTCTACTCAGTCGCACTGCTTTGGGGCTGAGATTTATCTCTGCAGGAATTCCTACGAGATATTCCCTCCTGTGCAGGTCCACCCCTAGGAACATCCTCAGGGGAACTTGGGAAGTGTGTCTACAGGTACAGACAGAAAACGGCACCCGAGACGCCTAACATTTCTCTGCTGCAGAGAACTGGGGGGACTGAAGCCCCGAGAAAGACCCTTATCCCCAGGTGCCAAGAGGTGCCTGGCGTGCCAAGATCAGGCCAAGTGTGGCGCGTGGGCGCCTTCAGTTAGAAAATGGTTGGTTCTGGATTTCTTTAGGGGCCTCCGGAGCCCAGGTTTGCCCCATTCCCAATCCAGAAGCTTGGCTTCCTTGGAGTTCACTTTCTCGGGTCGCCGACGGCTCACTGCTCCTTCCTGGGCAGGGAACACGCTCGCTCGCTTGCTTGCAGTCGGTGGCCGGGGCACCTCAGCCAGAGCTAAGAGCGGAAGAACTCCCTCCCTACGTTCAGGTTACAGATTGAGAAACTGAGGGTGTTGAGCCAGTTTTAGCCAGAGCATTCTGCCAGGAGTTAGCGCACCGGGGTTCTCAACCCAATGGGGGCAAGGGAAGGAAAGGGCGAAGGTCCAGACGCGCGGCGGGCAGCTGCAGGCGTTTCACAATTGCGGCGCTCTTTCGGTACCCGATCTGGAGCAAGCGCCACGCGGTCTGCCGCCAAGGGCGGAGACACCGAGGTGCGGTGCGAGTGGATCCCAAGGGGAGTCCTTGGAAGCCGAGGTCTGGGATCCCCCACTCCCCATCCGCTGCTTCCCTCCTGCAGCGTCCCTGGCCGGCGCCGGGCTCAATTTCCCCGGGGGGGGGTGCTCCAACCTGCCCTCCTAGAACACCGGCTAGCGGAGCCCCGAGAGCAGAGCTGGCTCGAGGCTTCCTTCTGGCTCCGTGGCGCTGAGCAAACGCTCAGTAGGAGCGGGCTTGGGGGCTCGGGCTTCAGGCGGAGGTGAGGAATGACGGCGGATGAGCGCCCTTTACCCGGGGGATTAAGGACGACAACCTCCCTACCTAAAATTTCTTAGCAAAAGTGGGGACCACCTCTAACTCCGTTTTCAGTGGGGACACATATGCTGGGAAGATAGGGCGAACCTCAGCCATCCTGTCCCCAGGCAGTGCTGTCTAACGAAGTTCTCACCCGCAGAAAGGCCCTTCTCTCCCCGGGTGCCCAAGCCCGGTTCCCTTGAGCGAATCCTGCAGGACCTCAGTCCCCGGGGGACACTCAGGCCCGCGCCCTGGGCGCCCAGCCACTCCTCGGTAATTAGTACTTTTCGCTGTGCTTTTTCACCCAGACACAAGTTTCCTTTGGAAAAGAGCGCCAGGTAAGCCCCAGTCTCAGGACGGGCGTAGCTTTCTGGACACCAACAGCAGAAGAGAAAAGGAAAATACCAGATTGCTTTGTAGGTGCGCAGGAAATATCTGAATAAATGTGACCTTTGGACAGTTTGCCCCAAGTGTGTGTGTGTTTCCCGTTCTAGCCACCAAACCTCTCCCGCCACGCTGTCCCTAATCGCCTTTGCATGTGAATTCCTACACGTTAATTTCTTTCCAAATGGACGCCCTATTTTGAGAGGTTGATAATATAACTGCAGTCCCCTACTAAAATTAAAGGCCAGGAGGGGCATCTCGGTTGTTCTACCTTTTTCTGTTTTCAAAGGGAAAGAGGAGCTAAAGGGGCGATGCTGGGTGCGGGGGTGTGAACCGTCAACCTGGCCCCGGGTGACCCGGCCAGGTCGTGGGGCATCCGGTGGCTGGAACCCAGCGAGACGCCCCGGGGGTGAGGACTAGAGCCAAACCTGGAGGCCGAACGGGCTGGCTGGTCCGGGAGAGGCTGAGCCTCAGAGAGGAAAAGGAGCGTGGGGGTGGGAGGCCCCAGTTCCACAGGTACTGTGCTCTCTCTTTTTTATATTTTTAAAAATTTATTTCCTTCAATCCTTTGTTTTCCAAAAGTATCTCTCCTTAGTGGTGCTAGGGAGCCGCGCGCACGGCCGATTCCCTCGAGTGCCCTGCGGTGAATATCCTCGGCCAGGTCTTCCCCTCTCGGCCCAGCTTCACCTTGCCTCTCTGTAGCAGAACGTGCTCTTGCCTTGTTGATTTAAAAATAAAAATCAAGGGAGCGCTCCGTGTGGCGGCGCCTCGCCCGCAGCGGACTCGGGCCAGGGTTTCAGGTCTGCCCCTAGAGCTGACAATGCGGGTCGCAGATTCGGACCGACCCCTCCTGCATCTCCCACCACCTTTCGGTTCAGGGGTATCCAGGCTCAAAAGGGCAGGAGTGCTGAGTTTTGCGTGATTTCCCTGGGGGAGGGTGGCTCTGTAGCTACAATTGCCTCTGCCTGGGGGGACCAGCATCTGCCTCTGAGGGGCCCTGTTAGGGAGGTGATTGACTGTTCCTGATCTTCATGAATGGGAAATAATGTCTCCATCAAACCGCAGAAGCGAAAGACATGCCTTGAAGAGAGAAGAGAGCAGTTTCGAAGGTAACTGTCGGAGTCCAGACGAGTTATTTTGTATCTTTTCCTGCTCGGCAGGACCCGGGCAGCTCCCGGAAGGAAGGGGCCCCTGGCTTTTCCTGAGCCAGCTTTTTCTGGGCCAACCTGAGCTTCCTTGCAGCTGGTGCTGGGCTCTGCTTTGCTTCGGGAGCCACGTGCGGGTGAGGGAGATGGCAGGGCAGAAGCGTGAAGCTGGGTCTCA